AAGGTTCCTTGGAAACTTGCTCTGTAGGGGCATCTGCTGGGATCTCCGAAGGTTCCTCGGAAACCTGCTCTGTAGGGGCCTCGAACAATCCCGGGTCTGGAAGAGGAGCTGCTGCTCTTGCCGGCGTAGCCACCGGCGGTCCATAACAGGAGAGGTCCAGGTTGCTGCAAGCACCCCGGCGAACGAAACAAGCTTCACCCGCCTCGAATGCTTCCATCTCCTGCAGCAACTCGTCACTGAGGAAATCGCCTTCGGCAACTATGGTCTGCTGGGTGTCCATGTGCTTCACACCTGGGCTGCATTAGGGTTGTGGGTTTTAGGGTTTAGGCTTAAGGGCTTTAGGGGTTTAGGGTTTAGGGGTTTAGAGGCTTAGGGATTTAGAGTTTGGGGTTCGGGGTTTACGGGTTTAGGGCTTTGGGGCTTTCGGGTTTTGAGGCTTTAGGGCTTTAGGGATTTAAGGCTTCAGGGTTCAGTACTTTAGGGTTTTAGGCTTTAGGGTTTAAGGCTCTGGGACCAGGGGGTTTTGGGACTTTAGAGCTTTAAGGTTCTCGGGTCTTTATGGCAGCAATGATCCATTGCTGTCGCCTTTGGGAAATTTCCGGCTTCTTTATGGTTTTAGGCTTTAGGGCTTTCCAGCTTTAAGGTTTTAGGGTTTAGGGCTTTTGGTCTTTAGAGCCTTAGGGCATGGGTTTCAGGGCTTCAAGGCTTTAGGACAATCCCCAACACCCTAAACCCCTAAATCCCTAACAACCCAAACCCCTAAACCCCTAAACCCCTAACACCCCTGAACCCCCAAATCCAAAAGGCCTGGGGCTTGAGGGCTCCAAGGCTTTAGGGTTTGGGACTTGAATTGAAGGCTTTCATTGCTTGCTTCCTGGGATGATTTCTGCTGGCTGTCAAAGCCCCAAGACCTTTCACCCAAAGCGTGCTCGAACGAGCTAAGGTCCCCAACACCCTAAATCCCTAATACCCCAAACCCCGAAACCCCTAAAGCCCTAACACCCCAGAACCCCTAAATCGATTGCATGCTTTCTGGGATGATTTCTGCTGGCTGTCAAAGCCCCAAGACCTTTCACCCAAAGCGTGCACGAACGAGCTAAGGTCCCCAACACCTTAAACCCCTAAATCCCTAACACCCCAAACCCCTAACACCCCTGAACCCCTAAATCCCTAAGGGCTGGGGCTTGAAGGCTCTAAGGCTTTAGGGTTTGGGACTACACCTTTCATCCAAAGCGTGCTCGAACGAGCTAAGGTCCTGAAGCTAGCCCAAGCCGGCACTAATCGACAACCCGGAAGCCATACATCCGAGCTATGCGAGCTCGCCACTTCTCGAAGCCCTGACCTAAAGCCAATGCACCACAAACCTAGGGGTTCTGGGAACACGATTCAGCTGAGGATCTATTCCAAGCTTCGATGGTTCGCTGCCCAAACAGAGCAGCTCGTCGATGAGCAATTTGCTGCCTCGGCTGCTCAGCTCTACATTATGTCAGACAATGGATTACAATGGAGAGTCCAATTTTGAAGCGAAATGCTCCAGCTCGGCCAACTCTCTCACGAGATCGGTCCCTGAAGCAGGCGCTTTTGCCTCGTAAGGCACAACCTGTGCCGTGTCGGCATCTAGCTCATAGGCCACCGTCCCGATGTAAGCCGAGGGCGGCTGCGGGGATCCAGAAACCAGGCCCATGCTTTCAGCAAGGTATTCATCAACCTCGCACACCTGCCCATCCTCATCCTCAGGCTCTGTCAAAGTTCCTTCCTCCTCCTCTTCCTCCCCCGCCTCCTCCCCTTCCTCAGCTTCCTCTGCTGCATCCTCCAGAGCCAAGGTCCTGCGGCTGCGAATTTTGGCCGGCCAGTACTTGCCGACTGCATCGAAGATGGCCTTGAGGCGATGATCCTCAGATGATGCTTGGGTTCCAGCTTGCAATCTATAACTGAAGCCGAAGCCAACACTGAAACCCTCAAAACAAAGAGTCACATCAGCAAAGTAGCCTTCCTCTTAGATCCATCGTGTCGCCGATTGATGTAGCTCATGAACATCTTCAAGCTGTGACTCGTGCAATAGATCATGCCGGGCTTAGGGGTGATGTCGATCTCTTCAAAGTATCGCCTAACCTGATGGCTGATAGGAACAATATCAAAGAGCAATCTTATGATGCTTTGTGCACTGACATGAACTGAAGCAAAGCACACAGCTTCGGTTTCAATCAAGTAGCTTGCTCCTTCAGGTTCAGCACAGGCACTGTCTTGTTGGGCTCGTTGCTTGGACAGTACATTTCTACCAAAGCCAGCAGAACTTTGTGATTTAGCAAAAGAGATCTCTTGTTGATCTTGCCGACCTTGGAAGGATCCTCCCACTCCAGCAAGCTTCCCTTCTTTCTAGAAAACTTCCGGATCGCACGGTTCTCCTCCCAGGCCTCCCAAAGGCCTGATAAATCAACATCCCTTCTAGCCTTAGCCACTCCCTTGCGAGGCGGAGTCTCCGGTGCAGCAACGACAGCCATGCTTGAGTATGGCAGAAAAAGCACTCCGGGAAGTCAATTGCGCCATAAATAGAATTATTCGAACTGGTGATTTGTGTACTGCTGGGAAGCTAAAGCAGCTAAATGATTTGTGTACTGCTGGGAAGCTAAAGCAGCTAAAGTCCATTTCGGGGCTCCTCTAGATCCGGCCAAAACCTGCAGAAGCATACAAGAGTTCTCAAGCCATGCATGCCACTGGAGCAATCAAGACACAGCTCGGACACAAGGGGCACGGGATCCAGGCTTGTCAGCCCAGCAGCCATAACCTGCAGCAACTCAGTGAGTATAGGGGATCCGGTTATGCGAAGTTTCTGCAGGCCTTCAGCTCATCCAGTTGGCTCCACCGATATACCTGCATTACTCACTTGGGTGTTCAATGCTAAACCAACAATTACAGCAAGGGGGAGGGGCACACTGACACCCAGAGGGAAGCTGCCAGCGAAGCCCTGCCACAGCACGTGCATCATCGACTTAGGGTTTAGGGTTTGGGGGTTTAAGTTTAGGGGCTTAGGGCTTGGGGTTTAGGGGCTTATGTAAGTTTAGGAGCTTGGCTTGGCCGGCCTTGTTCATGGTTCAGTCGAAGCTATCCATCCAAGGGTCACCAGGCCTGAGGCGACAGAGGGTCAGGAAGAAAACAAAGCAGTGAGAGAGAGACGACTCGGTGTTGGGCCATGCCAAAACCAGTCAAAGCCTGCGAAGGCAAAGAATCAATCGTGGCAACAATTCTCGTGAGAAGCAGTGGCGTGGATCTATGAATCATGCTTTATTCTCGAGACACTTTTCCCAAGCTCGCATCGCTGCCTCCCAATCAACATCTACTCCTGCGGAGCTTTCTTCGTGTTGGGCCCCTTCTCCTTCACCGGTGTAAGAGGCTCTGCTTGGAGTCCTAGGCACGGTGAAATTATTCTTAGTACTCGACACACCTTGAACTCCTAGAGTCCTAGAGACATGACTGATCTTAAAAGTGCATGCGGAGGCTCTCATCTTCTCTTGGGCCTGCCAAAACTGCCGAGCCAGCTCGCGAACAGAGCCTCCTTCCTTGTAGTTCTTCACGATGATCTCGATCTCGGCACCAGAAAGGATATCCTTGGAAAGGAAATGTTACTGTTACTCAGAGCTGTTAATAAAACAGGCTCTCTATGCTATTGAGTGGCATGGGGCACGTCTTTGTCTGGCCACAGCACACCCTGCACCTCATGGAAGAAAGCCAGGGGCATGTCCTGGAGTCCTGGAAGTCTACAAGGACTATCATGAAAAGATTTGATTGCTACATCTCGTGCGGGAAATCTAGTCCGTCCTGCTGACTGCAACAAACGAAAGCTCTCCATGGGGACTGGCAGGTGATCCCCCATGCTTGCAGGTTAATGTTTGCTCCAGGCAATGTATTGTAGTATTTGTTTGCCGGACTTCGCATGCTATCTCGAGCCCAACCGCTGCTGAATTCAAGTTTGCTGCTTCCCACGATCAAGCAACCATCTTCAACAAGAACAAGAGCACAGCAGGGAGCTGGGCACACCTCGAGAGGGCCGGGACAGCCGGAAGAGAGCCGAGAGAGGGCTGCAACAAGCTCCAAATCAAGAAACGCCTCCAAAATCAAAGTCCAGCCGACATCCTGCCAATCCCGCCTACACCCGGCAAAAGCCAATTATGCCCGGCACCGGCGTTTATAAAAGGCGTAAGGAGTTTCCAGGTATATATATATATATATTATATATTATATATATTATATATATATATATATATATATTATTTAATATAATATTTTATATACTATAATTATACGAAGCCCTTCAGGTTCTGACCTCGAAAGATGAGAAACCCTACCTCGAAAACCTCGCCAGCTGCAGCGGGTATCTGCCTCCGAGTTGCAGTGTTTGAGGTGCACTTCTCTCTGCAGGAAATCCCGAAACCCAATAATCCTGCCTCGACACGACAGGAAATCTACAGCACCTATTGTTGTAACGCGGAGTGGCCTGCTAAACCCGCAAACCCCCGAGGTTATTCTGGGCCTGACACCCTTTTGCGCAGGCTTGAAGAGACTCTGCTAACCAAATGAGGGCTTAGAGCAAACCTTGAAGTTTTCACACCCTAACACCGAAAACCCTGGCTGGACGGTTTAGCTTGGGCCATTTGGCTTTCGGGTTTCGGGGTTTTGATCGAATCGGATGTAGTACGAAGGGCCTGGTGCTACGAAATCGTCGTCGTGGCGTCAGGTATGGATAAGAAGAATGCAACCCAGAGTCTTTGTAGACCATGGCCAGATACTGGGTGACCTTCGCGCGAAGCGTCGTGGCTGCTTTTTGGTTTTGGAGAGTGTAAGGCGGGTGGCGAGGAATTAGTCTAGGACTTTTTGTATATTGCAGTATAACTATCATATTGAGACGTTTGTTTTCTTGCTTTTTTGGTTGATCACTCGCACTGGATCAGCTTGGGGAAGGGGAACCGACCATCAACAAATAAAGGCCTAAGTAAGCCCCAGTTCGGATAAACTACGACTCCTAATTCGCATGCGATCGCCTAAGCCCTAGCCTGCTAAGATTTAAGAATCATTCACGAACCCGGAAAACTAGACCGCGACTTTTCCGTAAACCTTCTAGACCTGAACGCCTAAGGACCTCTTATATAACCGACATAACCAAAACCTAAACTCTTCGCGCTCCGAGACCCGAAGGAGCAAAGCCTCGGGAGATCCCAGCTCCCAATGACAATCTACGGGCATTAATAATTAGAATAGGCTTTTTGGGCAATAGTGTACTATATAACTATTATTATAAGGAACCTCCCCCCAAACAGTATAAACATGACTAGAATAGGGTTTTGGGGAATAGCGTACTATAATTACAATAAGGAACCCCCCGCCTAAACACTGGTACAGGTAATTATTAAGGCCCCTAGACTAGACCCCGTCGACGTGATAGGTAAGAAGCCATGTCCCGACCATCATCGCAGAAAGAGTCGTGACAACGAACAAGATCCTGAGCTGTGTCTGAGTTTTTTACGGTTTTTGGCCGGAGGGTTCTGAATCAGGTTCCCATGTTACTTAGCGTGTTTCCTGGGCCTTCGATTGGATTAGGATTAGGGTTCGGGCTTAAGGGCTTATAAGGGCTTAAGGGTTTAAGGGCTTAAGGGTGAAGGGTTGAGGGTTCAGGGCTCCTGAGCTACGAGGGTAGGTCGAGGATCGACGATACGCGCTACTAGCATGGTATAACACCTCCAAAGTCGATCTGAGTGCCAACCCTAAACCTCAAAACCTTAAACCCTAAACCCCAAAACCTTAAACCCTAAACCCGACACCCTATAACCCCCCCCCCAAAAAAAAAAACTAAACCCTAAACCCGAAACCTTAAGCTTCAGCGCCCTAGACGTGAGTGTCTCCAAAGTGCAGGGGCCTACACTTGAGAATCTCGGTCTTCTCTGCCCCAGAAGACATGGGGTTCCGGGTTCGAACTTGCGGGTTAGGTTTAGGGTTTATCGTGAACCCCCGGGAATTTGGAACCTCGATTTGGGATGATTATGGCTGGGATTCCCTCTATTCTACCTCCAGGGCATGAGGATAATGATGTTCCAAGTTTCTGGCTTCTACTGTAGGGTTTAATGAGGCGTTTCGACTCGGACACTCGCACCAGGCAGGCATGGCTTCACGACGTCCGAGCTTTGCTACCCTAACAACTGAGGCATGACAATGTGTCAGGAGCGAGTACCCCCGTCACGAGTCGGCTACGGCCAACGCAGAACAGGCTAAAAACCCTCAGAACATAACCCCACAGGTTTAGGGGTTTTGGGTTTACGGGAATGCAGAACCAGAATCAACTAACCTAGTGGTTCTGAAGCCAGAAAAACTAGAGCAAACTGACCAAGTGTCTATCACGACCACAACAACTTTTAGAAAAGGGAGTGGAAGAAACATGTGGGCTTCATCCGTTCTGTATATTCTCTGACTTGGTGCTGGAACCCTTGGGTGCCTGCGCAGCTTGGCTTCGAGACGAGATAGATCTGCCACTAGGGCTCGAAGTACCCAAATAGTGGGTTTACTGCGGTACCTAATTTTTGACTAGTAACCTACTATTTAGGCTTCTGCATGGAGCCCTAGGATGTTTTGGCAAAACACCGCAGAGATGCGTCGCGCCTAACCGGCTTTTGGAATCATGGGACACGCGGGGGACGCGTGGCCAAAATCACTGCCGACCCGTCGCCTTCCTTTGGAAGTGAACCCGAAGCACATAATGTAGGGGCCTTATAATAATTA